CATCTACGCCGAGTTCGCCTCGCGGCTCGCCGAGAAGGTCGCGGCGTTCAAGGTCGGGAACGGCCTCGAGAAGGACACGTACGTGCTCGTCCTTGCGCATACATTTGGCGGCTCATCATTTGTGTTGCTAGCACGCACGGCCCGCTCATCCACGACCGCGCGATCGAGAAGGTGCAGCGGCACGTCGAGGACGCGCTGGCGCAGGGCGCACAGCTGCTCCTCGGGGGCAAGCGCATCGAGGGGCCGGGCTCGTTCTTCGCGCCGACGGTGCTCTCGGACGTGCCGCACAACGCGCTCGTGAACCAGGAGGAGACGTTCGGGCCGCTCGCTGCGCTGACGCGCTTCGAGACTGAGGAGGAGGTGATCCGGCTGGCGAACGATACGTCTGTGGGGCTGGCGGGATACTTCTTCTCGCGGGACGTTGGGCGGGTGTGGCGGGTTGCGGAGGCGCTGGAGGTGGGTATGGTGGGCACGAACACGGGCGTGATCAGCCAGGCGGTGATTCCGTTTGGGGGTGTGAAGGAGAGTGGGCTTGGTGAGTCTCGCGCGTTTGAGTCTGCCAGTGTAGGGAGAGCTGACGAGGGGCGTAGGTCGCGAGGGCGGACATGGGATCGAGGAGTACATGAACGTGAAGTTCATCGCGTTTGGCGGCTTGTGAGGTGAAGAGATGTGAAAATGTGGCGGACGTTGCGGTGCGACGCGTGTAGTTTTACTGACGGCTGCTTCTGATGTAGCAATACTGACACATATCAAGCGAACTTCCTGCGAGAATTTAGGACAAGCACAGTCCCGGGGTGGGAGGCCGGTCTTCTCTCGCGGCTTGCAGTGTCATCCGATGAGTATTTGGGTACTTGTCACGCAAGTACCTACTTGCCTCCAGTATGCATAGCTGGATCCGTCGGTAGACCGCATCGATCCCTATCGATCCCGCCGATTAGGTACCTCCTTCAATCCTTTGCTGGAGGGATTTCCAGCACTTCCGTCCGGCTCAACTCCCGTCATGGTACGTCGTTGAGTTTGCGCGTCTTCATCATATCGGAAACTCATCATTCGAGGCGTAGCGTTCGCTCCCCGACGCAGAGCGCATGACCATCTCACTCTCACGAGCTCTGCACGGGATGCGCGGAGCCAGTCGTTCCTCCGCTGTTGAGGCCGAGCCTGGCACGGGGCAACCCAGCTCTGGCCGCTGTTGATGCAGATGTGATCGAATACATAGACAGGTGGCACGCGCGAAGTGTGAGTTGCTATCTGACTTCAGGTTACGAGTTGCGCTCTGAGTCGGAACTAGGTGCGTGCTGCTCGTTCCTTAAATGTTGTGTTGTTGCGTCACTGACTGTCTGCGCCGCTCCGTGTTAGGTACGCACACTTAATCTGTCGCGGTACACGGCATGGAGAACGCAAGATGTAGCTCTCGTCGGAGGCTGATCAGTGATGATCACTTGGTCAGACGGTATGTTGCTGATATCACGCGGGTCAGTATCCAGCTCGTGAGGACTAGGCAAGTAGATAGCCTCCTACGCCGGGAGTCGCTGGCCTTATCCGAGGAGCGATGGTGAGTCCCTTTCTCCCTGCTCCACTTCGTGCTCTCACATTCTCTCGATTTCTAGCACTCGCCTCGAGCCGCAGAAGCGCGGGAGATGTCCTCGGCGGGGCGCATCGAAGACTCTGACCCTCTGGTGCAGTATTCAAGCTCGCAATGGATCGTCGACCCGTTCACGCTCGCGTCCGGGAGCTCAAGGCACGGTGCTGCTCTTCCGGAGCTGACGGTGTCGCTTCGATTTCGCGGTATGGGGTAGAGATGTCAGTGGGCTTCGTTAAGTACTGACGACGATATGTTAGGTACGGGTGTGCAGGTTGTGGGCATATTGGATGCGTCTGTTCATGACGGTCAGCCGACGACCATGTACACTCTCGACGGCGTGGTTGTCGATACTTACAACGCACCCTGGACCAGCGAGAGGACCTTTGACGTGGTCTTCTACGTGAACCGAAGCCTGTCTCCTGCAGACCATACCATCGAGATCACTAACGTGAACGGGACGAGTCCGAATCTCTTCTGGCTGGACTACTTCCTCGTAGATGCGGCTCCCACCTCGGGTGCGACGACCTCGACGACGTCGAGACCGCCCACGTTCTCAGCCTCCTCTTCTACATCTTCCTCGTCTTCGTCCTCCTTCATCCGGGTTACGACCACGCGATTAGTGTCGGAGACTCGCACCTCTGTCACGCCCACATCCGCCATCTCGACCACGAGCATCACTGCAAGTCTGAACTTGACTGCGTCCAGGCCTACGTCGTTCACTGGCGATAATATCACCTCCACTACCTTTCAGACCGGCTCGACGGTGTCACTTCTCAGCTCGCCTGCTAGCTCGAGGAGTTCTTCCGCGTCAGCAATGGCTACGGCCCAGGGGCCGACCTCCTCTTCAGCAAGCCGCGTCGCTACGATCGGAGTTTCCGCGGGAGGCGCGGTGGGTGTCGTACTCCTTGCCGTCGCCCTCGCCTTGTGGTGGCGACTCGGACGGAGGAAAGGTAGGACCTCAGCTCACATGTCGCATTCGTCGCATGCTCACGGTATGCACTCGCAGCAGCCCTGTGCGCGCCCTCCATCTTCACTCAAGAGACGGCATCCTTCACGGGCACAGCGTTCTCGCGCCCAGATCCCGACGGCCATTTTTGCAAGATGCATGGTTGCGTACACAGGCAACATGCACCATGCCATTACGCCACGAGCGCCGACAGCATATACACCAGTTCGTCATACGCGCAGGCTCACGATGTCCGCCGCTCGTACATGCCTTCGATCGAAGATCCCCTCGACGCCGCCGCGGCGCATGGCCGCCATTCTTCTCGCCCCTCTTCTCCCAGCTCCGAGTCCGAGGTCGAATGCGAGCCCATTCCGCCAGTGGCGGAAACCCCGGAGCCCGCGACTCCAAGCCCGAGCACGATCTTGCGAGCGGAGGTTGCTCGATCGCCGTGGTATGTGCCTCCTGGGCCCGAGCGGCAGCCGGATGTACAGTCGCTGTTACGCGCGATACATGCGCGTGAACGGCCCCGCAGGCCACTTCGAGCTCAAGCAGTGCCGCCATCTGGACGGATAGAAGAGATGGATTCGGGATTGAGGTTGTATCGCGACGATGGTACCCTGCCGCCCCGGTACACTGCCCGGTAGGGATATTCGGACTACTTTGATATCGCGCTGCGTCCGCTGGATACCCCGCTTTCTCGTGCTTGTTCTTCTTGGGTCTCAATCCGAGTTTACTAGTGTCTGCTGCACTTGGTCTCGGACTACATATCACACGCAAGTACCTTGTGTAACAGTACGAGTACTCTTGAGGACGACTATATAGCTGCGCTACTTGCCTAAGTAAGTGTGGTATAAGCAAATTGAAGCAATAACAAAGCTGCAACAGAGTTGGTTACTTATTAAGAAGCGCTGAACGCACCTTGTCTTTGAACTTCTTCCACCGCTTCGCCCGCGTGCTGCACGACGCCAACATCTCGCTAGGCTCCCGAAATGCTTACGACCGGAGTGGCTGGTGAGTCTGACGTCTCACCTTGCGAACCCTTTGCCAGGCTGTCGATACACTGTTCATGCGTCTAATCAATACGAGGTCAGAACTCATCACCACTCGCCTCGACTGCTCATGGCGGGTACATACGGGCTCAGTTGATTGAGGACGAGGATACACGAACAACTGGTGGAAAGGGTACGGAATCGAGGCAATTCGGTACGAATGCTTCACCTAACAGTTCGATCTGTCAACTCACGTTCATCGAGCAGATGTGCTGTATCGAACATCCCGGATGCCTCATGCGCTGTAGCGTGCGAGGTCCCGTGCGAGGTCTCTGTGAGCTGTAGTCTCTTCTCTGGCTCGTATCGGCACTTCGTGGAATGGCCGTCTATCGACATCGTTCATCACCATGCCCCATTCTTATGGCTCCCCGTATCGACGCCCTTCCTTGCGACCGACTTCGTACTGCCTGAGACATCCAGATGTCCGCTCCTATGCTCATCGACGACGGCGACCCTGCCGTCCAGTATTCGGCGGGATGGGTGTATGACTTCGGATTCGGCCCCGCCGTAAATCACACGAGGCACGGTGCCGTAGGGAAAGGCAATAGTGTCTCCCTTACGTTCGACGGTATGTTGACGTACACGACCAGCTTCGGTACTTGCTGACGCAAGGTAACAGGTACTGGGATAGAAGTGGTCACGACACTCGATCCCACTTCACAAGGTGGACGGCCTACGACGTCGTATACCATCGATGGATCCCATGTCGCTACCGTAACCGCGCCATTCGCACCGAACGCGCTCACGCAGTTCAACATCACTGCATTCTCACAGAACGGAATGCCTCCGGGCTCGCACGTACTCACCATAACCAACATGAATGGGACTAGCCCCAACATATTCTGGATAGACTACTTCCTCGTGTATGGTCCGCCGGCTTCGAGGCCGCAGCAGTCGACGACTGCTGCCCACCCCACGACCATTCCCATTGGTTCGGATCCGGCAACCACGCACTCAGTCACACCTATCTCCAGCTCTACGCCAACTGCTCATAGATGGTCCTCGTACGAGCCATCGGAGTCGATAGAGCTCTCTTTCACTCTGCCGCACCTCACAACGGCTACCCTGTCAGGGGCCTCATCCGGCTCTATCACCACTACGGGTGATGCCTTCCACACTACCACCGCGTCTACAATTTCTGCTGTTGACTCAAACACGACACCTAGTCGCCATCTCGCAAGTCAAGAGCCCTCACCGACTATAACCTTGGGGGCTGTCCCCAGCGATGCTGCAGACACGTCTCACCGCCCCCGTCACAACGTTATCCCAGCCGCGGTTGGAGGTTCGCTTGGCGGAATCATCATTGTATCGGTGCTGGTCGCCCTCGTGTTCCTCGTCAGGCGGCGCAGTAGGTCCAGACGTCTAGGTGAGTGCAAGTGTGGAGATCGCACGACGAAGTACATACTTACCTCTTCCTCCATTTCAGACATCTACGCTAGCAAGAGAGAAAGCTGCGTCAGCGACGAAGGCTGGTTACCTCTGAGAAGCAAGTCCGACGCTTCTATGGTGGAGATGACTCGCACCGCGGTATCCGTGCTGGGTGACGAGCGGCCTCTGAGCGGCTCCTCTGAGTACGCTTCTGCCCTCCAGCACTCAGGAGATTCTCGGCAGTTGCTGGGGACATGGCACGCGCTGTAGGAGCGTCGCAATTGTACAGACGAGCAGCGGCGGTGACCGTTCGCCGAGAGCGTCTTGTAGATGGGACCGACGGCGACCTCGTAGTTCTCTGTGACCATCGATCCCACCACCCGTTGGACGATGATTTCTTGCTTGTCGTCATATTGGCGAGTTGATCCTGGCCCTTGATATACGATAGTGTTTGTTCGGAGCCTCGGACATCTCGCTTGCCGGAGCTATGGCTATCTGGCAGTGGTACTGGATACGGCATGGCTCCTTTCTGACGAGGAAAGCTGTCCATCTGTCATATCGAGGGCGGTGTTGCGGAGACGATCATAACCACTGCGGCGAAGTGGTTCTTGCCCCTGGACATGGTAACCAACAACCATTCGCGCACCCAGCATATACCTTCATAGCGGCATAGCGACCTGCGGAAAGTCTGCCGCCAAAGCTTGTCCTCACGCGTCACATATCGAATGTGTGGTTCAGTCCCCTCGAGCTCATCCATGACCCTTCCTAGTTGGCTTGCACCCGTCGAACACCGGAGGTCCGATTCTTGCACGCCCGCACCCCTCGCGAGCGACATCAGCGCCTTGCACTTCAACGGTGAGCATCCATTGCTCCTGACTGACTGTAGTGCTCACAGATGAGTCGATACATTGGCAGGTACAAAGTTGAAGATCTCTGTCGATGGAAAGACGTCACAGAAGGGATATCCCACCTTCGTTGTCGACAGCTTGAAAAAGTGTAGCAAGGAACACGA